CTGTTGCATCGCCCCAAGCAGTAATTTGTAATGGTGAGAGCAGGACTTTTCTTGTTGTTCTCTGTTTATGCCATGGCCACAGCAAGCTACCAGCTGCAGTCAGACTGGTCAGCAGCTTAGTTTTACACTCCAGCTACTTTTGCACCAGCTACTTGTTCTTCTGCTCGCTCTACTTGCTGCCATGATACTTCAATTACTCTCAATGACTCTCAAGTAGTTATTTTGACAAACAGCCAACATCAGCGACCCTGGTATGACTGATCTATTGACTGCTGTCATGCTGTCATGGTTCTCTTGATGTTATTCAGAGAATAAATGTTAATTTTCTCTTGTTGTCACATGGTGATCAAAGAGCAAGAGAAACACGAGGCCTTAAACCTCTGTGAGTCCGGGGCTGCAGTCGAAAAGTCCCATAATTACTCCCTAACGTCTATTCCTAACCACTTGTTTTGTTTTTTACGGATGGTTCTTGTTATTGAGAACGAGAATTTCTTCATTGACAGTGTGCTATATTTACTGTTGTTTTTAAATTATTTGTTACATGTTCAAATTAAATAAATACATATGAAATGAAACAAAAGGATCGTCACTGTCTGTTCATATTCATCAACATGAATCCCATGACATTATGACTGTATAATTGTTAAACCTGTGTAAGATAAACATGTCGTTTGTTTTAGTGGACGGCCGAATGGTGCGTCACTTTAAATGTTGCCGCCGCAAGGAATTGTGATGAAAATGATGATAAATGATGTAAAAAGTGTTTTGTCTCTCCAGCTCTCTCTTTAATTGTTTCCATAATAAAAGTTGTTGAGGGAAATACCAGATCATGAAAAGACAAATCTTTCTAATAAATGAAGGAAGTTGTTTGTGGTGCTTTTGTTGTTCAGACCTACAATGAACATTTTAACCAGGTGGTGAATCAGAAAACTAATCAAATATAAAACTAGAGTTTAATCTCTGATCTGTCTTTACTCTGGGATGAAACTCCAGTGATATTTAGAAAAATCTGGTCAGTCCGATCAGCTGCAGCGTCCAATCACATAACTGATGAACAATGAGGGGGCGTGTCAGCCGTTAAAACACTTCCTGGAAGCCTGTTCTCGTACATCCTCACTCATGGCTCCTCAGAGATCCCTCTTCGCTCCTCGATTCTCGCTCCTCAGAGCAGAAATAAGAGCTTTGGGACAGCCTTCAATATGGCGGCGCAGAACAACTTCCGGTTCAAGCGAGGAGCGAGGAAATGACACAACCATATTTCTGAGATGACAATCTGAATCACTTGCAAGGGCCCGTTCTCTGCTCAACACATTGTTTGAGGGCCCACTCTCTCTATGGGCCCCCAACCCACCACACAGGCCCCAGTGCAACCGCACTGCCTGCACAAGCTCTCTAATACCACAACCGACTCTGGAGCCCACGCGTCCAGCTCATCTACTATATGAAGGATGGCTCCACTGACCTCTCCATCAAGCCGTGTCCGCTGCATCCGCCTTGCTGATACAGTTGCAGAGTTGGAACAGGGAATCCCCTCGCTCCATCAGATCTAGGAAGCTGAGAAGTTCATGGACACCATCATTTTGCCACCTGTCCTGCTGCTGTGTCTGTCCCTCCCTCCAGGATCCAGCTCTGGGCTGGACCTAAAGCCCAAAGTCCGCTCCATTCCATCCCATCACGAGTTCTGGTCGGTTGTCGGTGCTCGTAGCAGGAGAGGGAGGTGCTACCCTTGTGACCTCACCATGACATCAGCTGGAAAACAGATACGACATCCGCGACCTGCTTGACTGTCATTATTTTTGCTGGTGAATCTGGGCCTCCTCCATCTCTCTTACCTCCGGTTCAACAGCGCACTTTACATCAGCAACGCAAGGGTCTACTGTGTCCTGTGTGTGACTGATGTCCTGGACATGATCTCCATGTAGCACCCGAGTCAAGCCCCCCCTCGCCCGGGCTGTAGTGAGCGGATTGTCATGTCCGGTCTCATCCTTCCGATCGACTGAGGCATGCATGGACCGTTTTGGCCGCACTCCTATCTTTCACACCTGGCTGCAGTCAACCTGTACAGAGATTTATTTGTCAATTTGAATCTCTTCTGGAACCAAGGATCATTCTTTGGGAGGGGTGGTCTTCACCTAAACGAACATGGGCGCGCGCATTTTAACAGATAATATCTTTTACTCTACTTTTAAAACACTCAAGTGACTACAGACTACCGGTTACAAACAATAACTTATTCTGTCTACACCTAAAGAACTTTCAGATTCACTGGCTCTCTCTTGTGGACCAGCTGTATCAGACATCCGTCACTCTCATGACATTTTCAATCTGACCTCACTGTGAGGGCGAGACTCTTTCTAAAGACAGACAAGGGCTGTCAACCACCAGAAAAATGGGAGAAGTTTCCAAAATTTGACCCACCGAGGACTGAACCATTACTATCCTCCAATATAAGGCTTTCCTTGTTGTCTCTGACTAAGACTTTCATCTTAGTTTATTTTACTACTTGTTTCAATTTTTTTAATTTTTGACAGAGATTTGGCTGAAGGTTGAGGAGCTGAGTGAACTCCTCCCCCGAACACTGAGTGTTTCAGCTCTCCCCAGGTTACTGGTGTTGGTGGAGGCCTTGCGGATGTTTTTTTAAAAATCTGCACAAATGCAGCTTAATTCTGTGCTGATAATGAAAATGGCCGGGGCCGCTCCAATGTTTGGTCTGTTGGCATCTGTTGACCCCCCAATGCAACCCAGTGTTTTTAAAGAAAATTTTAAACTTTTAAATCATTGAATAATGGTCGAGTTTTAAATATTTATCAGTCCTTCAATCTGGTTCAACATGTCTCTGCCCAACTCATAGCCGGGGCCATACCTTGACTTGTTTATGTTTTGGACTTAATGTGTCTATGGACCTCTCCTTCTCTGACCACCAGTGCATTATATTTAATACTTAATAATGTTGCTTTATAATAAAATATTCAATTTCTGCCAATAGAGCCCCCTAATTGCTACACCCTATTCTTTTAAAATATAGCGTTATTTAGCCACTGCTAAGGGACCTGGTCTTGATCCATCAGATAAAAAGCATTTCAGACAAAGCTCAAAATTGCCCTACATTTCCAAAATTATTGAGAAACATTTGACACCACATACTAGATCATGCTTTTTATTAATAGACCAAAGGATTGGGTTGGCTCTGGTTCTCCTGCTGTTTAATACAAAATGTTATGTCTCAATTAATTAATTAATTTCCTCAACTGCACAGACAAGATGTGGCATACCTCAGGGATCAATTCTTGGACCAATTCTGATCTCTTTCTATACTATCATTAGGTCACTATTCATGCTTTTATTTCCTCACGTCTGGACTATTTTAACGCCTTGTTTGCCTGCATGTCTCAGTGCCCCAGATAGCTCAACTTCAGATTGTGCAGAACTCTGCAAATGCAGACTTCGGATGAAGACTAAACGTTCTTCTTACATCACCACAGCTTTTAAATCCTGTCATAGGACACACCTTTACATACTTTCCATTTCCCCTTACAACTCATATTTGGTTAAGTAATACAGCCAACAACCACCTGGTTTTAAGTTTGTTTGAATAGTTTCACTTGTTCAGCCTTTTGGATGATTTATTTATACATTTATTTTACAGTATTTTAATTGTGTGCTGTATTAGTTTTTATTTTTATATTTGTGATTGTTTTTTATGCTATGGAGCAACTTGAAAAATCCTGTACAAATACATTACTATTATTTTTATTATTATTATTATTATTATTGTTATAGTACCAGCTATAACAATTCACTTAACAATGCCCATGTACACATAAATAACTGTGAGTAAACATCCATTAATCGATTATCCACTAAAGTGTTAAGGCTAAACTCATAGGGATTTGATCATTTCTAAATAATACAGGAGTCATACTACATTTCATGCATTAAATAAGTCAAGCATTAAATAAGCTTGTGTTTTTAAACCTTAATATGAAGTGTTACCTCTTACCATGCATCTGTTATTACTTCAATTGTCCCTAAATAGCCCATCAACATTTCCAATCACTTCTTTAAAAAGCTCCTGCTCAGGCCTATAAGTGCCCTCCATATATCTCCCCGTGTCCCCCAGTGGGACAGGCCGTGTCTGTCCTTGTTCCTGTTTGTAAGGACGCGCGTCTCGGCCTCAGTCAAGCATTGCAGGCTGGCGCCGCCGCCTCTCCTCTTCCACAACATCAGGTGTAATGTTACTGTTTGTTGTGGCCTGAGAACACTAATAACGAGGCAGGAAAACAATGTTGATGGTAAAGCTGCTCGACATCACCTAAGATCACTCAACCCCGAGGACCTGTGTGCAGATTAAGTGACTTTGCTTGGCTGACCAGAAGCGTGGTTTGGGTGCACACTGAATAAATGACCCCCCCTCCCCCTTTCTAAACAAGTTAATCAATGTACAGTTTCACTTGTTTGTCTATAAAGATGCAAAAGCGTTTGTTTCACCACATTTTCGGCCACAAATTAAACTGTTTTATTCAAATCCCTGACTGGTCTGGAAATCCATGAATAAAATGGGAAAACTTCTTTCAAATATATTTTAGAAATTAGACTGCTTGTTTGCAGTAAGCAACAACTTTCGTGTCACCCTGCCACTGTAGGCCTATAACTTAAAATAAGGATTTTTAAAAAGTGGATAACCCTGACTGCAAGCTAATACTGTAATTAAATACACCTTCTCACTCAGAGAGGAGGGTGGATCAAGGATGCGAGGGGTTCCTGTAAGGTGAGAAGAAAAGGAGTGCGCGCAGGCTAGGCTGGGTGTTGGCCAGTGTTGTGGAGAGGGGTGACAGATCTACCTCTACCTTGCTCTTTAGCCGGAGCCTTGAATGATTCAAATCTCCCCGTGCCCCTCACTCATCAGTCAGTTAAGAGATACGTCCGGCAGCACCAGCAGCAGCTCGAGCAGTGCGTAAAAGGATCTAAATAGCTCTAAACAGCCAGCTGAGAAGGTTGGGATGCATCCCAGTTCAACGACCACGACGCCTTTTTCTGTGAAGGATATTTTGAAGCTGGAGCACCACCATGACTTTGAAAACGAATGCCTGATGACTGATCAAGTTGTTCCGATGAATTATGAGCACGTGCACGGTGCCTCCCGGACCAGGGACGCTTGGGGCTGCCAGCCTGAGCCGTGCGTCTCTGGGACGCAGGAGAAGCTCGACATTCACATCTCAGCAGCAGCAGAAGAGGAGATCAATGAGCAGGGTGAGATGATACGTGATAATCATTCAGTTATCTGCTGATTGTCGGTCAGGTTTAGGCCAACCGACAGAATGGGGCCTTGAGCGCGTGATAACAGGAATACCGGTCACGTTTTCCATTTCCTTGAAATCTCTCAATTTGATAAAATAAATGATTAGTAGAAGATTTTTCTTCAAGAAACAGAAATACATTGGGAGGTCTATATATTTGCGATATTTTGCCACCAATCCAAAAGTGATCGAATAGGAGACATTCAAGGCTTCATTATTGTTGTTATTATTGTTTGGTCACTCTGATCAGTTATTATAATCTCTGTAAGTAGCTCACACAGTTTAAATAGAAAAGGGGCACAGGAGTGCTCATTTTCCTACAATTTTCACAAGTCCTCTAACTAAATGATCAAATTTTAACCCAGCGAAAGTGGGACACATAATTGTGTATTGTTTTGGATTTAGTTCAGCTCTAAATTGTCGTCTTTAAAACGTCAAAAATAATCAAATGTAGTTCTTCCAACTCAGACAGTTTTATTTAATGCATCTCTGTTGTTTCTATTTTACCTCATTTTATTTAATACAAAGTAGGCTGTTTTTCATTTTAATGTTACAGCAAAAATATCTGAATATAACAAAAACACGTGTGGTCTCTTGTATGTTTATAAAAAAATTGCGAAAGTAAATTTTCTCAGATTGGACTTATAACCAATATGCACATGATATCCAGCTCCATCAACAGATTTTTTTAGTTTTCTTTTAGAAAAAAGCTATACGTTAATTAGGCCTGTAGTTAAAATGGATCAAATGTTTTTCGAAGCCAAATCGTTTACAGATTTAACATTCAGTTTTATGAAGTATGACTTTATGTGACTCTTTTCTTTGATAATGTGCAGAGATACGCGGTCTTGACAGTTCACCTGACTGTGACAAAAACCCTAAAAGCAGACCCAGGCTGCGCAGGAAGCCCCGAGTCCTCTTCTCCCATTCCCAAGTGTCCGAGCTGGAGAGGCGCTTCAGGCAGCAGCGCTACCTGTCCGCCCCGGAGAGAGAGCACCTGGCCCACATGCTCAAACTCTCCTCTACACAGGTCAAAATATGGTTTCAGAACAGGAGGTACAAATGCAAGCGCCAACGGCAGGACAAGTCTCTGGAGCTGGCGGGGTATCCACCTGCTGCGAGGAGGGTGGCGGTGCCGGTGTTGGTGCGGGACGGGAAGCTCTGCAGCGCAGGTTCCCATTCAGCAGCACCTTATAATGTGACTCTCGGACATTACAATCCCGTGTTTGGATATGGAACCAGCAGCGTGTACGGCTGCGGTTATCACAGTGCGTCACCTTCAGCAGCGCAGGTGACTAATAACCAGCTGGTAGATTTAACAGGTAACAGCGAGGGGCCTTTCAACCACGGACACTTCCAGGCGTCATTACAGGGTGTAAGAGGCTGGTGATTAAAGCAGGAAAATGGTCTGAATGCTGTAATATTAAATATTGCAATGTCACATTGTTATCGTATATTTTGTATACACTATCTATTGGTAGTTTTCTCCTGTTTAGAGGCAAATTAAAAATCAGCTGATTGGTTAACTCATGTCTATAAGAGTATAGCTTCTTTATTATCATCCTTTTATATTTGTCTGATACATTTAAAAGTATAGCAACACATGAATTCGGGATATGTAATAATAATAATAGCAATAAAGTTCGTGTTATATGTAGCTATATAACAAATAATCCAGAAAAAACACGCCTATTTGTTACTAATTTGCTTCCAGGCTAAAATTAAATAATTTTCTTTCTAGCTTTCTGTTGCGTCAACTAACATTAAATATTTAGAGCTTGATGCCGTCTAACCTTTACAAATACCGATGTGAAAATAAGTTTTTAAAGTTTGAACTCTAACTTGATATCATCACATTTGCCAGTTCTAAAATATGTAGGATCCAATTAAAAACAACATTCCTGATTAAAACCCTTCAGTGACCGGTTATGGAGCTGTAGTCTGTGGAGTTTTATCAAAGAGAGACATCAAAAAAGCTAATGGACGAAGTGACATTTGACCTGACAGGCTGCTCTGCTCTATCAAACTGAGCTCATTATTGTCCCATTCACAAATCCGCTGATAAGGCTGGAGAGCTTGTCCTGTCCCGGAGCTTTGCTTAGTAAACAAACCCGCAGACAGAGTGGCTCTTTAACTTTTTCAAACTTTCAATCAAACGGGAAACAGTTCCAGTCTGACCTGTCACTCACAGATGAGCCGCAGCAGATACTGAATCCACTTGCACTGCAAAAAGTAGTTCTCAGTATCACTTATTGACATGCAGTTGATTGGCTGTTCAACTCAATCCAGCACCTGGTAATACACTATAAACAAAACTAAAAAACTAAAAAACCCCATTATAAATCCACAATTAAATTTGGAGGGATTTAGAACATTACATCAAAAGTTTATAGCAAAAGCGAGATTTATCATTTTTTTAGTCATGAATATTTAAAATGTATAAATCCATCAATCTTGCTTGGCTTATATAATACATGCTCCAAAGTTATTGTTGTAAATAGAGGCTATCACATAATGAATGGTTGAATTGAATCAGTGTGTCACTTTTAACGGACACGGACTCTGAGCCAAAAGGCCCGAGAAGGAGAAACACTTCTGGAAGGAGAGAGGAGCTGAAGGAGCATCTCTGCAAAGATAAGGATGAAGCTGTAGACAGAGAGGAGACCAGAGACACTTCAAGAGATCAGATAATGCCTCTGTCTGTGTGTGTGTGTGTGTGTGTGTGTGTGTGTGTGTGTGTGTGTGTGT